TTCCATTGAAATATCATTCCTTGTTTCCTCGCCAATTAATCGATTGACCAATTATATTTCAGAAACAATTTCATGCATGCATCCTTTGCCATCGCAACAAAGAACCATGAACGGAATGATATTTCTGACATTATTATTATTATTATTATTATTGTTATTGTTATTGTTACAAATTTACAATGTCGCTTTGAAGAAAATGATAGTCTTGAATAAAAAATGAAATGATGTTGCATGCCGAAATTTTCTCAAAATGTCACAAGAACACATTTCATTTTTCAGTCATCGATCCTTACGTTTAGATGAGAATTATAACGGTCAGAACACATCAACTTAATCGTTTAAATAATCGTTTTTTATAACCACTTAACGTACAAGAATCTATTGATGTTCGACTATGTTTCATCGATTTAATCCATTTTACAATTTTACTATATGATGAACCATCATTGCGTATGACGTTCATCAATACTTCTAATACCAACATATAGATATATGGGAAATTTTAGCTTCTTTTTTTTACAAAAAAAAAAAAATAATAATAATCAATCAATGCATATCGTGTATCACGAGAGAGATGATAGATGATTTTAAAAAAAATAACAATCAATGTATATTGTATCAAATTTAGTTATTAAAAGCAATAACTAACTGTGTTATGCCACAATATACAATAGATTTTTTTTTGATAATCTTATCGCTCGAACGATAGATTTCAACTTTTTAAAAGCATGTAACTGTGTTACAACGCGATGCATTTATCATACCAGCCCAGAAATCGTAATTGCCAAAAATTAATTAATTTTTGCCAAATTACCGACCGTCGATCATAATTAATACATACGTATACGTTAAGGGGTTAAAAAAGGTCGAGCTGCACTTCTCGAGTCTGCCTCCTCCATGTATCATAAATACAACAAAATTTTACCCGCGATCTATATATAATCTCTAACCGATCGATCGTATATCGAAATATCGCTCGTGTCTTCGAATAAGAAAATTCCGTGATCAGTGGTCGAAGACACGGTTAGTAATAAACGAATTAAAAAAAAAAAAAAAAAAAAAAAAA